AAAATAAAAAAATCATTCCAATCAATCAATCTCCTATTAAAATATAATGGAGATATATGAATTTAATGACCATTTTAAGTTATTCATCATGAAGTTTGGCTGCTTTCCACTTTTTTTAACAAGGAAACAGAAAAATCAAGGAAATACAGCTATAAAATTCTAGAATACATTCCCATATTTATAGCATTTATTCCGTTAAATATTCTTCCATAAATTTAATATCATATTACACAAAAATACATTTATCACTTACTTTTTATAGGTATTAGTTTTCAAAACATTATATACAGAGACATGAAAGTTAAAAATTTTAAGCTAATGAATAATGCATATTTACAATATTAAATTCCTACTTAACATTGAGAATTAAGAAAAAAAAAAAACATTAAGTAACACCAAAATTACATAAAAATCTGAATTAAAAGTTATTTATAGTGAAGTGTCATTCATTTTTAAACATGCCACACCCAATACTGGTCATGAAAAATCTACATTCTATTTTGCTTTATAATCTATCATAGCAGTCAGAAACTTCCTAATATTATAGAAGTGATAACTTGTTTAAATCAATATAATAAATATAGCAATTTAAGAACTAATAGAAAATATTTAGTTTTACTTAATACTTTAACAATTTTTTTAAATTACAAAAGATATTTTTAAAAAATTACATTTAGTAATTTAATTTACCTCATTGGAACAACGTTTCGTAATGCATTTATCAGAAACTTTGCCTCTTGAAAATATCAATAAGTTGCTATACCAACTCTAAATACTTAAATTTATCTAAAACTATAATTTTACATATTTTTTAAATTTGTATGTAAATTTAAACGTAAAATTATTGCTACATTTTCTTGGCATTTTTCCATAATAAAAATTCAGTCATGATATTAATACATTAATGTAATTTGATTGAATAATGAAAATATATAAAATTCGTAGAGAAAATATACAAAAATATCATTTATTAAATGATTTTTTCTATAGTGTTTATTTCAGATTTCAAGTTATTTTTTTTATCATTTATTAAAAAAAAATATTTTTTAAATGAATTTTACATATGGAAGTTACATTTACTATGCATTTTACATTGATTATCAGTAAATTTTTCAGAATCTGCATTAGAAATCATTCAAAACTCTTTCATCGATATTCTGCATCTTTCTATTCATATTCCTTGGCAAAACAGTACAGGGTTTTTCGAAATTAGCAGTGAATTATTGAATTTTATCTTTAAAAATAAAAAAATAATGAAAAAAAAAAAACAAACACTGTGCATTTTTTACAAAATAATTTCAGTAATTTTCTCATTAAAAAATTACTCATTTACATGTATCTTGAACATAAAACTTGCACTTAATTTTTTGTTAATTATATGTACAGTGATTGTAGGTTAATATCAGCCACTTAATGTAATCAAACCCATTTTCCCAAACCAGTTTTATATAATCCTGCCAGTTATTGTAATTAACCTTCTGCTTATTGTTATCAGATACAGTACAGCATCGATTATCCGAATGCTGATCAACCAAAACGTTGGTTAACCAAAAGCATTCCGGTCAGACTGTGTCATGCTGAAACGAACATTTTTGATATTAGATTAACTTCTAAAGTATAATTTTTTTTGTTTTTATATTTTTCAATATATTTATTTTATTTGTACAAAATAAAGAAATAATGTTTAATGATACAATAGTCACAATTATTATTATAGAAATTTTTGTTAGGCTTAACATCGAAGAAAATTCAATGTGAAGCGACACACAATGGAGAAAAATTTAAACGTATACTATTATTGGGATATATTAATATACTATATTAATAATGTATTTTTTTGTACATAATCGGTTGTCCAAAAAATCAATTTTCCGAACAACCCCAGTCCCCAATTGATTCAGATAATCAATGCTCTACTGTATATATATATATAAAATTTATAATCATCATATATGGTAATATATATAATCATTATATATCTACTCAACTACACACACCTACATCTATCATATCATCGTACACATCATCCATACAATCAGATTAAACATTTATTTTTATAACTGACAAATTAGGATTAATTTAGAATGATTTTTCAAAAACATTACTTATTATTTTTCTGGAAGTATTATTTAATAATTATATTTGCTTTTTTTTAAATATGGCACTGATTATAATTTATTAAAAAGTGTTCTATGCCAGTTGATATATCATTAGTTCGAAACCATTGTTCTATAACCGTTACTCCTGAATAAAATATTTTTATAACATCAAAAACCTTAAAATAAATAAATAAATCTTGGAGTTAACATTGTAATGTTGTATCTATTTTTATTTATTAAATAACACTATAAATTTATTTTTTTTACTTTTATTTAGTTTTACAAGTATAGCTTTACGTGCTATTCTATTGTAAAGGTGGTCAACTATTTGTTATTGTAATTGACTTTCATTATATTAAAACTAGTCACAATCTACTGATAGACACAAATGACATCACTACATAATGTAAGTTTATAGTAGTAACATCTGTAACCTACTGCTGTATGTACAGTACAGTAGAATTAAGTATTCGTGTTTTCTCTCATTCATGATTTAATATTGAAAGTATATTAATATGATTTTTTTAATTTAATAAATTTATAAGTGTTATACAAAACTGTAGATAGAAAATACTGTGGTGATCAATTGAAAATTTTTTTGAGATTAACCTGTCAATTACAATCTACTGATTGACCACCCCTGCTGTAAATGCATACCCCTGTAAACTTGGCTGCCTTGCAAGATAGCAGTTGCCAGATATTGTTATTAAAAAAGTCTTGAAAAATGTGATCACAATAAGCGACGACCACTGTATTTTATTTTAAATACTTTTTATGTATTTTAAATAAAATAAGGTTTTATTTCTGCTAAAAATGTTACTTATATATTTAACTAATTAATAACGAAGTTATATAATATTTAAAATAATTCTTATTAAATAAATTATAGTCACAGTATAAAAATTTTTTAAACTATTCCTTAGTATACGTGTTGATTTTTATCCACTGCACTAATCATTTATGATTATTTAAATCAAATTCAAATTTTCTAATAGATTTTTATATTTATTATTAGTATTATTAAATAATTTCCTATAAATTTATATTGAAAATAAAACTAATAAAAGATCATCTCTGTAAAGGAAGACTTCATTCCTGTTGAATAGACTTCATGGAGATATGAAGACATTTTAATTTATTCCTTGTATTTTTAATGTAAACAAGCAATTACTTATTGTGACATTGTGGCAATGCTGGACTGCAACTTTTCACACAATGCTCTCAATTTTAGTATTGTCTTCCCCTGCACATCATGCTTTTCCTGTTAACAATGAAGTCATGTTGATCATCTAACTAACTCCATTCCAGGAAAAAATTTTTGAATTGAAATAATCATCTCTGTTCTCAAGATTAAGGAAGGACGGACAGACAAACAGATGGACACCAGCAGAAATTTATAGATCAAAATTGCAGTCCATTTTAATCAAAACTATATAAATTAATTTATTTATTTATTTAAAACCCTCAATAAAGAATGCTAACTGAAGACAGGTTATAACTAAAAAACACAAAATGCAAATAGAAATTTTTTATTTGTATATTAATTTTATAATACGCAACAAAAAAACAAAAATTTATTTTTGCTGCGTATTATACAAATTGATGCAATAAACCCGTAATAAAAAAAATTATTAATCTATATTTTATTCATTTACAAAATATTACTGTATACATATATATAAATTAAATTTGAATTTTATTTTTAAAGTTTGGCAAAAAAACTTTACAGAAATAAAATCCAGCCAATAAACAAAGCTTTAATTATAAATATATTCCATTAACCTTATAATGCTTTGCAGTTTGCATTTGTGTTACATTTCAAAATAACTGTAAAGCATTATAAGGTTAGTGTAGCATATTTGTCTGCAACTCGACAGAAAATTGGTTATTTGTCTGTCCAGTTGCAAGATTTAAGTGCAACAGAATACGACAACAAGCTTCGAACACATTGTGAATTTTAATAGTTTATAATATGATTTTGCAATTTTTAACAATATTTATATTGTAATTTTTTTAAATAATGTTTTTACATTCAGCATATTTTCAAAATTAATACAGAAAGTGTGTATAATAATAACTAGTAGAAGTCACTTTTAGGTCATTTGTCTATACACACAAATTAACTAAAAGTAACTCCAACCCAACATTTGCAATTATTTATATAAAAAATTCATACTGTGTGATTCTTATGACAGTAATTAGATCTTATTATATATACGATTAAATTCTCGATTTACATAAGTCAAAGCTGTTTCTTGACTTATTAAATAGCTTAAACAGTTAAAATAAACTGAATTAAACCAGGATTTTACAAGAAAACACGACTCTAATCTATTGGAAAGGAAATATAAACTCTAGTAATTTCCCGAATGAATTTTCTATCATAAACATATTCTAGACGTTATTACGACTTAACACGTCAACAAAACCGTTAGATTTGTTTATTTTTGTGACATTTATGACAAAATTTGCAACAGCTGAATAGATCGATAACTTACCATTCTCCGCCATCTTGTTTTGAACCTTCCGCTCAAACAGAGCCCCAATAAATTTTTTCCATCCGAAACAACGCCCTTAATTTTAACGAATTTATATTTCCCTCGCCGTAATATTAATTAATATAATTTAAAATTAAATTTATAAAATAGTTATTATTTTTACAATTACTTTTTTCATATAATACATAAAAAAAACTTTTTTCGAATTCGCACGCCAATCGTCGCGTCATCTGGTAGTGGAAGTACGCATTAAAATAACAAACCTGTCAAAATGTACATAATTGCGTTGCGTAATAACACGTGATTGGTTATATTGTATATTTCGAACGAACGACGTCCAATAAAGACATATTTGACAATTAACATATGTGTGTAATTGATTATTTTTTTTTACGAATTACTTGACACGTGGGATTTTCGAGTTATTTTAAGAATTTTTACGGTGTCTTAAATGCAGTTTTATTATTAATAATGAGTCATTTGTAGAAAAAGGTTGCTAGTAAACACCTCGAGGCGAAAATTCCTGCCGTGAGCAGTCATCTTTGAAAGAATTCTAATTACATTCGTCAATAAGTTAAGGTTTGCGAAGGAAGTGATGAACTTACGTCGATAATATTCAAGAAAATGGATAAAATTGAATGTCATCTCGATAATATCATAAATGGTGTTGCCTTAGAAACCGATCAACCTGTAGACTATACTTTGGCGGAACAAATAGAGGATTTAAGTAAGTTTCTTCTTCATTCGTGCATTTAATCGAATGTAATTTCACACGTGAAAACTTTCCCTAACGTTAAATTCTTTATAAAATTCCATTTTAATCATTCATTACTTTCATTTCTGTAAATCTTTCTTCCACATTCAATGTGTAAAATTGAATCTGTAAATAATGCAGGCATTATCATCATTAAGTGAAGTGTAAATAACAGGTTTATCTTGATTAACACCTTTAAATCACCTTCTTAAGTGATTTGAAGATGTTACATAAGAGAAGGTGTATGTGACTGTATTTATCATCTCTCGTCATTATGACAATTGTTCGTAGTTCTAGCATTTTGTTGTTCAAATTTTGAAATTCTAAATGGACGTAATAATACAGGGCAACGTATTATTAATTAATATATGAAGAAAAACATTCAAACTCTCAAAACTGTACAGTTACCTTCACTTTATTATCTAAAAGTGGCTCCACACATTCAGTATTTTCTGATTGTTGAGCAATTATTTGGCCAATCCCAAGTAGTGTGGACAATTTACTTGCGATTAATATTTGGAATTTACCATTTTTCACTTCTTGTTGGTACTTTGTGGCAAATAAAAGGGGAAGTATAGGCAATTATTTGGCAATAGGCAAATACCAAATTTGTGGAGCCACCATTGAGTACAAGAATTGAACAAGATTCAAACAGAATCCTGGAGCTTAAGACATTTCAAAGTAGATGAACAATCCGTGAAGAAACAAAAATATTACTGGTTAAATCAGTATTTTCTTTTGTGATTAAGCAATGTTGGCAAATTATATAAAAGTAGATTAAATTATTATTAATATTCTAGTAATTTCTGTTAAGAGATTTATATATCCTGAAAATTAACTTTGCTTATTAACTAAGTAATCAATATTAGGCTTTTTTCCAGGAATCTTTTGGAAGAAAGCCTAATATTGATTATCATTAGAAATTTAATAGGTAATTTCATCTGATGAGAAAATCAAAAATTTATTGGAATATTAATTGCAATAATCAATGATATTGGTTTTAATGTTGCTGTGTATTATAATTATTTATCCAGTATAATTATAGAAAGATAAAATTTTTTAAGAATCACACTTCAAAGATGACAGTTTTGACTTGTGTCTTTTTTGAACTAATGTATAATAATGGATCTTGTCATTTCAAATATAACAGAATATTATAAACATGTTTATATTCTGTTATATGTATTCAAATTCACATTTGTTCTTACAAATGTGTATTCATTTATAAGAATCATTTAATAGGAACAATTGACTTAAAAATGATATTTTTCTTATTATTAAACACTGCACACATAGCCAATATCCAACAGAAAGAAACTACAAGAAACAAACATTTTATCTATGTTTAATAGGCATCATCAGGCTAACTGACTTTAGCAGTTTGAATGCAGATGTTAAAACAAATGGTTCAAACCAAAAAGTTACATAACACCTCCCACAAAGAATGGTTTACATAGTTAGAACAATCAGAAATTTACAAAGCTGCAAGAAAAAATACTGCTATCAACTTTAGAGATGTAGACTTCTTCCCTCCTGCATGGAAGTCATATACAAAGTTTAATCTTATAATCCTCTTCTCTTTCATGTCATCCATCTTTAACATTGAATGGCAATCTTTTATTTTTAGTAACTTTTTGGTTCAAACTGTTCGTTTTAACAGTTGCATTCAAACTCAAAAGTCGATTAGCCTGACAATGCCCATTAAACACAGATGAAAACATTTGCTTTCTTGTAGTTTCTTCTTGCTGGATATAACCAATTTATATGTACAGTGTTTATTAACATATACCTGGTTTTAAGTGGTTGTATTTTCTTGTTGTATATCTAAGATAGAATATCAAGAAAATTTCTAGATAGAATATGAATTTATAAGAAATCTAATGATAATATAATGTCAGACACCCAGAAAAGTTTGTCAGCATAAAAATGGCAAGAAAGACGAAATCTAACCTAAAAATTAAACATTTTTTAGATTTAACTTTTAAGCATTTTTAGATTTTCATGTTTCTGTTAATATTTATATATTGATTTTTAAATTTCTATTTAAAAGCATTTTTAAAAGTTGAATTTGACAATTTGTTTAAATGTTTTGTTTACTTTAAATTTATTCACGTTTTCATGATTACAGTCTAAAATATTCATCTAAAAATATTTATTTTAATAGATTTAAAATCTGAATGTTGTTTTAACATTTAATTTAATATGTTTAATGTTTTTGATCATGGATATATTGTGTTCAAAATTGAAAACAATGGGTTATTTTATGTTTTATTGATAAACTCTACTTAAAATGTTTATAATCTATGTTTTAGAAGAAAATTAAGTTTCAAAATTTATTAATTAAAGTACAGATAGCAATCTAACATTTCAAAATACAACATTGAAGACTGAATGAAAAAATATATATATACATTATATATTTTTGAAGTCTTCTGAACATCATTTACAATCACCAGAATACAATTAGCTTTAGCAGAGTCAACTTTTCTTTATAGGTTCTTTGCCTATACTTATGCAAATTGTTTAAAGTTCCTGTGATGTCAGATATTTGCCAAAGTTTCTTTGTAAAATAAACATTAAAATATCATCTGTAAAATTGACATAAAAATTAAAAACTGTTTTTAAAGGGTATCTCATTCTGATTTTTTTAATGTTGATAGAGTAATCTTAAATTATTAAATGAAGTCATTGAAATTTTCTTATGTAAATAAGTGGAATAGTTATTGCTAAACTCTGTTGAAAGGAAGTAAGGAAACATATTGTTCTATAAATACAGTAGTCTCTTGAAAACTCGGCACTCGATAACCCGGCAGTGCGGATAACTCGGCCACACCCTGGCAGGGCAAAAAAATCCTTAGTTAATTAATTTTCATTATAGACAGCTTTATGCCTCATAAAGTATTTTTCTGAGGTTTGTCTTATCAGGTAAATTACTGTACACAGTGTATTCATTAATTTTCATTTTCATGTAGTAAAGGCTCTATGCCTTCATAAAGGATGTACTTTTCCTATGTTTGAGGGTATTTGGGCAATTTATTCTCTGTTGTATTCTCAAGTAAACAATACATACAAGTACAGTACAGTATTTTCTGAGGAAACACTCATGCTTTTTTTTTTTTAACCCCATTCCCGATAACCCGGCATTTTCACAAACTCGGCCACCCTTCGGTTCACATTAGGCCGAATTTTCAAGACTCTACTGTATTATAATAATTTTTTTTATTAAAAAATCTTACACAGAAATCAGACAAGATCATTTATGTATGTTTATAAACATTTTTTTAATAAATATTATTTCTAGGTTAAAAAGGTTAATACAAATTATTTCAAACACCAAACAGCCAGATTCTTTAATGCTAAATACTACCTCCTGTCAAATTGCATACTAATCTAAATAATTTGGCATGACGCAGGCTTCTGGGCTGCTTGCTATATCTGGTTAATAAATATTAATTTAATTATAATTATTAAATTTAATAAGAGATGGTACCTAATGCCTTCTTCTAGTGATAAATTATTTAGTAATTTTAATTAAGTATAATTTTGGAAAAGTAGCCCAATGTAATCCAGTGGTGGTTTGGCTTTACAAATTTATCGGGTTTCATGATGTTTATTTATGTATATACATGGTTAAATATAATAATATTTAACTAGATTAAATGTTATAGTCTAAGAAATAATCTGGCTGTTTATTTGGTATTTGAAATAATTATTCGGTTAGTTACATTATCAGGTATATAGTAACGAATACTGAACAGAACAACTTTAAGCAATCAAACATGTTTAAAATTAAAGGTTTGAAGTAGTTTGAATTGTACACATGCACATTGGTATTAAATATCTATGTTAGATTGGTAACATTGTACCAATGTGCATGTGTGTGGTTAGAACGACTTCAAACATTTAAGCAATCAAACACATTTAAATATAAAGTTCTGTTCAGTATTCATTACTACATACATGAAGATGATCATAGGTAATGAACAAAAATGTTTATATTATTAATTTTACTGGTTTTGAGTATATTTTGTGTATTTTCATTACATAAAACCAGTTTTTGGAAGAAGTGAAAATGTAAATGATACTTTAATCATTTGAAAATTTGTAAATCCTAGTATATAATTATATCTGATCTTTATATAAGATTTTAATAATAAACAATCAAATAGAATATTTATGAAATTGCATATATTTTTTAGAAACTTGGGAAATGCAACTCCATCTTCCATCAAACTTAAAGCTTGCTTGAAGAGTTGCATATCTTGTATTATTTTCAAGAGGAACCTCACAGCTTCAGTGATACTCATTAAAATTTAAATACAGATTACACTGTTAGTCTTCTGAATTTTCATTCAGAAGACGTTAACTAGAAAATTATTATATTAAATAAATGATGATCTACTTTATCATAAAAGTAAATTAAATTTTGTAAGGTGTATAAGATGATGTGTAATCCAGTAATCTAACATTTGAAAGTGTTAGATTACAGATTTATTTAGTTTAAATAATGGTCTGTTAAACTTAATTTTCTTCTTAAAATTTGTAAAGCAATTCTAGTGAAATTGCAGTCTTAGTAGTGATATGCATAAGTCAGAACTGTATGTATTAAAAGAATTTAAATGAAAATTGATTTCTTCATTTTTAAAATACAATATAGTGTAAATGAAACACTTGACCATTCAACATCCTTTATTCAATTATCTCTTACACTGATCAAGATATGTTTTCAGCAATTATTGCCTCTTTAAAGTTATGCTTTAAGATCTTGTACATCACCTTACAGAATCAACTGATGATGAGCAATAAGTGTACTAAATGAGTCTTTACTGATATAAGAGATAATTTAATAAAGTATATTGAATGATCAAGTGTTTTTGTCTATGCTACATTGCATTTTTAAAAAATGAATTAAAGATTTGAAACATGATTCCAAAATAACCAGAATCAATTACTTTACTTAATTAAAAATTAAATAAGTTTTGTGATAATTTTTTTAAATTATAAATTCCTTCTATAAAATCACAATTATTTGGCAAAAATTTTAAATGAAGAATGTTATATTTTTTATTTTAAAATCATTCAAAATTTTTCTCTTGGAAATTTATTTTTTTAATTCAGAGATGTGCAAACTTTTCTTAGTTGTGTCTCTATTTTAGAGCTACTTTAATATTCACTTTTCCTCTCAAACATCTTTATATTGACTCTAAAGAAACTGGATCAGAAGTGCTTAAAACAGCCATGTCACCATATTAATTGGATCCAACTGAGAAATGTTCGTGTCATATGCAAATTACAATGGCAATTGTATTGCATTCTGTATGTACTAAATACATGTTTGCATTACTGTTTATCTAATTTGCAATAATTCTTTTTAACATACAAATACTAATAGGCGATCACCCTCGGGGTATGGAGAAATTACACAACTTTATTTCCTGTACGATATACATTTTACACATACGGTATATTAGTATTCTTATGTTTAAAATTTATTTTTTCTTTTTATTAATTACAGTATCCAAGAATGTCGAACCTTTGGTATCATCTGATTACAGACCCATTGTGAAAAAGTCAGTGGCTTATATTGTTGCTGTTGTTTTAATAAATGAGGATGATGAAGTCTTGATGATGCAAGAAGCAAAGAGTTCATGTGCTGGAGAATGGTATTTACCAGCTGGAAGAATGGAAGTAGGAGAGAATATTGTTGTAAGTACGAATTTTCTAGTAAAATGTGTTAAATGATTAACATTCAATTCTTTTTGTGCGTATGTCCTTATTGTTTTTTTTTTCTTTCTTTTTATATTGTCTACTTGGTCCTTATTTATAAATAGAACTTATTATACTGGTGTGGTTTCTGATTATCAAAAAGGAAATCTTAGTCAAAAGGTAAAATAAAAAATCTTTATTTTCACCTGTACACTCCTGTACATTTGGACCTGTATACTCCTCTTCAGTAGATTTACAATATTGTATAACAATTGTGTAAACTTTTAAAACAATGATATTACACCCAACAATATTTGAGATAATTAAGTTGAAAACATAGATATTTTGTTTTACTTTTTGACTATAACTTCCTCTCTTTGCTAATCAGAAATTACATCAGTATAATAAGTCCTATTTATAAACGAGGTCCAAGTAAACAATATAAAAAGAAGAAAAAAATATGCAAATAATTATAACATCAAAGTTTTAATGGGATTTGAATTGAAAAAAAACATGTGAAAAAATTATTTTATATTATTTAATATATTAATTTTACATGAAGATAATTTAAATAAATTTATGAGAGAATTTTTAACGTACTTACTTACAAAATTTTTAAAGCAAAATAATTAAAGTAATATGAAAGATTTCTGTATTTCATTATTCTACAGAAAAATGTTCAGATAAGATGTTATAAAAGAGCTGCTTAATATTTAAGCATTTTTCTATCTGCATTACTGGAATGAAAATAAAATCTTTACATAACCTGCCTCATCATATATTCCCATGCTTATGGAATCAGCAATTATTCTTAGATGTCAGGTTTTTAATTAAAAAACAGAAAAATATGTTCTCAAGTCTCATTTTGACCCAAATTATAATATGAATTATAAGATTAATACAAATTCTCTTATTAAACAATACAACAAAACTTTTAAATCATACATTTGACAAAATAATTAGTATTTGAGTTTAAATAATGGGCCTTATAAAAATAAGCTTTAAAAGAAAAATATAATTATTATAAACATTCAATTCTAATTCATTCTAGTCCCCTTGTGTACTTTTTTACAATACAATTTAATAATCGCAAGTAACTCTTTATCATATTTGATTCCTGGAATATTCAGGTCATCTATCAAAAATATATATCTTGATAGGTGACCTGAAGATGACCATTAAGTTCATTCAATTAAATTATTTATTTTGCTGAAATTATAAGGTGTTTTATCTATAGAATTTACATATAAACCAAAAACTGGAACTAATACAGTTACAATAAAACAAATCATGTTGGGTTTATTTTATAAGACAGAATACATAGCATCATAACATTGTACTAGATCACAATAAAAAGTTTGATGGAATTTTAACATCAGCAGAGAATTACTATACAGTTGAATGTTTGAAGTGCTGTTTAGTTTATTTCATTTGCACAGAAGAAAGAAAAGTGTAGCAGACTTAGTTGTGAACAAGATATTTTTAAGAGCAGAAATTTAGGCTTTAGAATAACTATGTATTGTATAAGGAAAGAATGCTTATTATTTGTTTTTCTGACTTTCAGACATTAGTTTTTATTATGTTATAAGCTTCTACATATGCTTATATTTTATGCATAAATATTTCTCAATTTTCATGAGATTTTCATACTTAAATCCAAATGAATTTTGAATTACTTGCAATCACAACTTCCTGTAACTTTTGAGTCATTTTGGTTGGAGGATTATTTTTATTTTTTGTTTATGCTTCCAATTTCATATTTTAAACTCACTTTAACAAACAATGTATATAATTCAAATAATCATCTATCAAATCTTTATACAGTATTTGTAATAGATCTAAAATATATACAAAAACAATAAGAATTAAAGATTACATATAATTTTAATTTTCAATTTGGTAAAATGTTTTAGGATGCAGCAAAAAGGGAATTATTGGAAGAAACTGGGCTTCAATTTGAACCAACCACTCTTCTTAGTGTAGAATGTTCTGGTGGACAATGGTATCGTTTTACATTAACTGGTGACATAACAGGTAAATATTAACTTAGTTTTATTCATATCTTTTTATTGATTTAAAAAAAAGAAAGAAATTTCTATGTAATTTTGATATTAAAATATATATAAAAATATAAAGAATATAAAATTTTAGAATACATTAATATTCCAAAAACATCTATAAAATATCTTTTTGGAAGTTTTACACAGTACAATGAGTAAAAAGTTAACCAATATTTATTTCTTCCACTGAAAACATAGTAGAAATGTTCAGTTAATATCTAGGATTTATTTATTACTTTAAAATAAAAGTCCATCAATGAGTTTCTTAACTTTCTTGGCAACTTTTAAAACTGCATGTGTGGCACCATCTGTTATAAAAAGTTTTTAATAATAAAATATCATATTTTCAATTATTATAAAGTGGAAAAAAGCTTAATTATGAGGGTAGGACAGTTTTATACAAAATTTTAAATGTTAATAATGAGTAAAATTGTCATAGTAAGTTGAGGCTCACATAGGGGAATATCATTCACCTATGTGAGCGTCATGGGGTATGTAGCAATTTTCAGCTATGTACTGTACCACTGACACAACGAATCATTAACTGTTAACCTCAAAAAATTTCGTTTTTCTGTACCTGGAGACAAAATTGGTTTTACCACTCAGGCTACAAGGGGAACTTGTATAGTAAAACCATTCAAACAACTTTCCCTTTAGTCGATTTCATCTCGAATTGATTAAGCCAGTTTCACGTTTAAAGAGTTAAGAAAGAATGCTGTATTAACAAATTATTTATATGTATATATTTCCTAATAAATTATATATTTTGTATGAATTCTTCTACTCAAGTTGCTATGTGGTGCAGTTAGGTAGTTTGGAAAAAATTTTTTGACAAGAGGTACTCAGATGTACAAAAATTTAAGAATGGGTGTCAAAGCTTTAAAACAGTGTTTTTCAAAGAAATTGGGCCAGGACCCTGAGAGCTGAAAATGCCCCAATAATTTGTACTATACAGTGAAAAAATAATTTTGATTCAGAATACTTTGTAAATACAGAATTCTTATTGGACATTTAACTAAATGTCCAATTATCCAAACTACCATTTGTCCTCCTTTCTCTCTCTCCCACTGATGTCACGCAGTAATTCTCTTATATTTTCTGTGAACAAAACTTTGATGAAAACATATCCTTATCGTGGCACAAAAAGTTGATATCATCAATGCATTGCAAGAAGGAGAGTCTGGGAACATATTGCTGAAAAATACGGTGTAGGAGTAACTACTGTTTTGGATGTTAAGAAAAATAGTGACACAATACTGCAAATCACTTCTACCATGGAAAGTAGTTTGCTGTGACAGATCTGTACGATGCTACTCACACATTTATGAATAAATAAATAAATACAGTACATATACAATACTGTGCCACTATCCTGTAATTTTATTCTTTACATGTTAATCTACTTATCTGAATTTTTGACTATCCAAATCATTGCAGATCAAATCAGTTTGGATAATCAGAGTTCTATTGTAATCATTTTATAAATGTTTATAATATAAAGTGAAGTAGCAGCAACATAAAATATTGCAAAATAATAGAATAATTTTTGTTTAACTGTCTTCATAAAATATATCAAAATTTCCAATGCTAAATAATAAATGGGCCTATTGATTTTTAAGTGTGTGTGAATTTTATTTTTTGTAAAATTCTAAAGATGCTGTCTGTGCTATTTACTTGATGATAGACTAATTATATATATATATTTGATCTCTTTAAAAGGTGGAGAATTAAAAACAGTTGCCAAAGCAGATGCTGAATCTCTACAGGCAAGTTGGATAAAAGATATTGATCAGCTTAGTTTGAGGGCTTTTGACATTATCCCTCTAATAGAAAAGACGAGAACTTATTACAAAAATAAATTCAATGGAATGTGGCACAATCCCATTTTGCCTGCCTTATGTCCACATAATTGCCTTCTGCTAAGATTAGTAATCATTATAAGGAAAAGAACAAAGTACGTTCATTCTTAACAAATTTGCCTCGTGTAATTCTTATTTCTAATATTTGGGTAATGAATAAACAAAGAAATGATGTAAAAATTTAAAATACAAATTAAAATGATTTATAATTTTTATACAGTAACAGAATTCATGTCTTAGTATCAGAAAATCAGCAAGCTCATCTGCCTGTATGTGAAATAAACCCAGTGAAAAGTATTCACACTGTACTAAGGAGGTTTATTCAGGTAAAAACATTGGATTTGAAAAATTACCAGTAAAAAACCTTAGTTGTATATTAAAAATAATGAAATGGACACTTTTGTTTGATTAAATATAAAAGGTATTTAATTTTTATTCAATAAGAGTAATAGTTTACAATGTATTTTATAGTACCTGTTTGGACCAGATTTACCAAGTCACAAGCCTCACGGAGTATTGTCGGTGGAACACAATGGTGATCCACCTAAAGAACACGACGGATTATGTCTGAGTATACTGGTATCCTGCAAGGATGCTCTGGAAGACGTACCTCTCAATCACGGATTTACGTGGTTAGAAGTCAGTCGAGAAATGGGTGAAGATCTGCTTAAAAGAACAGAAAAGAATATGACAATTAGTCTATCGGTGAAGCGGTAACATGTTTCACAAGCTATAGTCGAGATAACAATTATGTTTTAACCATTGCAGAGACTAGTAAAGCAATTAATTTGAATAGGGATTTGGAAAACATTCAAAATGTCTTATGAATTTTAAGATACTAACACCATTTCTGAATTTATGCTATGTTTAATAAACTATATCTTATTATACAACATGAAGTTACAGTTATAGTTTCTAATATATTTAAAGATTAGAAAATTTATTCAAAATGTATTTAATATAATAAAATATGTAATCACAATATGAATACAAAAACAATTTGGAAACCATTAAAAAAAAAAATTAGACATAGAGGCACTGGAGCAAAGATGTATTGCTAATGTCATTAATAAATTAATATTTACAGCGGAGTAATGGCAGATTTCTTCAAGTGGATTGGCAAATTTACAATTGTTTTTATATGTTTACATTTGATAATTATATGCGAGTTTTTGACAAGTAAATTTTTAATGACATTCCAATTTATTTATAATTCAATTTATATAATTACATCCAATGTAATGAGTTTTTTTTATTTAATTGGGTTGATTTAAAAAAAAGAAAGAAATTTCTATGTAATTAACCAAATTATATATTTATTATAATAATTTTTTAATTTTAAAACTGTTTTTACACTATTAAAAGTTATAGCATTAATATAATAGCTATGGCAACGTTTGTTTTTATTGATCTTAATTAAACAATTTAAGGTTTGACTCAGTTTATATATTTTGAATTTTTTTTGTTTATATCTTTTATAAAAAATAATTTTTTTATGTATATGATAAAATATTTTTGAATAAAGAATATGAAACACAACAATCTTCATCTGTTTATTAATAAAAAATTAACAATTATAAACACTTAATTGTTGACCATCGAAAATGGCGGAGAAAACTAAATGTAATTGTCGTCCTCTTCCACAATCTAAATATACCTTGGATGAAGTAAGTAACAGCATCCCTGATATCATCATCAGGAGCACCGGGATGAAAGGATCACCAATTGATAAACTTATTACTGTTCAAGGTATTATTAATTACAATAATAATAATATAAGGAGAAAACTGCATAAATAATAAATTTCTTGCAGAAATTGATAGAATTTGGGATGAAATTGGGAAATTTATATATAATGAAATGATGCAACAGAAAGTAAGTTTAATATCTAGTATTAATCAATCAGAATTACTAAAATTCAAATGTGTTTTCCCTCAAGTGTGTTGTTGTCCCCAATATCGGAATTTTCAACTTTATTTATATTCCTTTGGATATCTCTCAAAAGAAGAAACTTCTTACTCTTAAACCTTTCCTAACTCTAAGCGAAAGACTGCTTAATAATTTTGGAATTATCTTCACTAAGAAGCGCGTTGAAGGTATTCAGAATTGCCAATTTTTTGTAAAAAGTGGGCAAAGTCTTCATTAAGCTCTTTTTTTTTTTGCAGATTCTTTACCCGTAATAAGGTTAAACTTTCATAAAATAGCGATTCAAAGCGGTTGCAATCGAGTGAAAGTGGATCAAGTCTATAGAACGATAATCAACGGATTGAATCGCTGTTTGAGAGAGAGGAGCGACATCGATTTTAATTTTCCTCGTATCGGAGTTTTGAAATTCAGAGGAATTAAAGCCAAGATGATATTCGATAAGAATTTTTTAGATAAAATCGAAAAAGTTGAAATTCATACAGAAATACAAATTAAGAATTTTAGAAAAGAAATGAATCTACACAATAGCGAAATTCAAATTTAATAATGTACTGTATTATCAAAAACAAAATTTGGGCATTTAACGATAATAAAAATTCTTATATTTATTAAATTACTTTTTGAAAATGTTAATTATTAATTTTAAATATTAATAAAATTAATAGATTTTTTTGGTTTTTTTTACATAAATAAACAACCGATTTAAGTGTTGCCAGATGACTTTTAAATCGTCCGGCAACACTTATGCCAGTTGTTTATAAACAAAGTAGAAGTGGGGAAATGAGTTCTACGTCAATTAAAAAACGACCTTATTTAACTATAGAATGCAATTGGGAAAATATATTAAGGTAATTAAACGATTTAAGTATCGATTTATCTTATAATTAATGTATGACGCGGTAATTTAAAGGCATATTTTTTTAAGTTCCTTTTAAAATGTTGTACTGATTCAAAGTTTACAGATTTAATAGTAATACTGTTGGTGGAAGTAATTTTTAAGTACTTTAGGCCATTTATATATAAACAAGGTAACTTCTACCGTATAAACCTTCCAGAAATCTTTAAATGTTTTATCTTGAGTACATTTTTACATTAAATCTATAATATAGCTTTCTTAGATGATGCAGTAAATCAGAGGTAAGTTTTGCAGGTAGGATGTGAACTCTGAATGAATAATTTTCAATCCCAGAGTTATAAACCTCCCTATAAGAGCAAAAAAGTCAATGGAACCATACCTGTACATGCAATCCTTTGCAAGATATTTGCCTCCAGATGTCAGTTTTTACTATGAACCTGTATATTGCCATGCTTTGCATCTCCATGAAGTGCATAACTATGTGCGACACAATTGCGTGTAGTCGTGCACTTCGGTGAGATGGATGGCATGCGTGGAAGCACTCCCACACCCCCTAAAACTATATATAACATCAAGTACTCCACAGTGAAGTGTGCTACTTAAAGCCAGCATAGTCACATGGACTAATTAGTTAAATGCAATAGTCTTAATGGAGTGATGCGACCCGGAAGTTAGCAGATTTTGGGGGACTGTATCTCATGAAAGGTTACATGTAGAGGGAATGGTACAGTACACTCAGAGAGGGGCCAAGAGGTCCAGGCACTTTCCAAAGAAACAGTAAAGAATCAATAAAAATATTTTCCTAATTAATATTCCTTTCTTTTTATTTATATTGTGTCTTCTATTTCTATACTGCTTATGAAGTAGCAGTGACATAAGGTGGTAAGTTTATTGAATTTACGTGAGAAAGTTTTTCATCTGTTTAACTCTGCTCCCCGAGATTAAATCCTGAGTGTACCGTTGTATAGAGCAGGGGTCGTCAAACTACAGCCTGCGGGTTGGATCTGGCTGGCCCACCACCACTGCACTGTGCCACAAATGAGCTAAAATATAATTATTTATATGGAAATATCATAGATTGTAGATAAACTTATATGTAGAAAAAATTAAAATAAGTGTAAGTAAAAATGCCAAAATTGGTCCAGTCTGATTTTTGCGTCTGACAGTAATATAATATTTAGGAAAATCAGTGAAATAAAAAATTGAGGTTGCTGTAGCCATTGGGTTTGTGTATTGGTAAATATGTTGGTTGTCTTTATTTTTAGTGTGTTCAGTATACTGTATTGAACAAAATGGTTATGTGGCCTGTTCTCGTCATTCTCTTGTTATGTGACCCACTGTGAAAAAAGTTTGGTGACCTTTGGTATAGAGGTATGGTTCCTTTGACTTTTTTTGCTCCTATGGGTATGGTCTACAGCTGTAATAAGATCCTGAATTTCTCATTCAGAAGTGTAATTTTACCTGTTTAACAAGCTATTTTTATTTGTAACAGCTGTATTCTTACATTACATAATTTTTAAATTTATTCTTATATTGTCTGAACATCATATTGACAATTAAAAGTTTGTGTTGTGTTACTATATTCTGTCAAAAAAAACAAAGGTGCTATTGCCAAGAAGGGTTCCCTGTTAAATTTTGAAATCAAAACAAATATTTCAAGCATTTGTTGTGTGAAGAGTTTCATCTAGATCAGGGATGGTGAATTTTTTTCATTGTCCGTGCCACAAATTTATAAATAATCTTTATGAAATTACTAATGTGTCACACTAAAATTGTCTCGTAAATTATGATTCTTATATTTTTCCCTTTTTTGCTTTTTTATTTATTTTATGTTTTTTCTTTTTTTTTACTCTCGAGAAAAAAATTATTATAATTCAATAAACAAAGAAAGAAAAATTTTATTAAACAATTTTATTAATATGGTATGATTTTAAAAATCACATCTGTTGCAGTTTATTAAGGATAATTTAAATGTTTTACAAAATACACATGAACGTTTGTTTTTTAATGTGATTTTTGTTGCTGCATATTAGATAATAAGGATTTTATATCTGGATTATACTTTGTTATTTTTAAAAGTACACATGCAGAGCTTGATTCGTCCGTCATCCTATTTCTAAATTTATTTTTTATAAAATTTATTTCAGAAAATAGCGACTCGTTTTCCCACGTCGATGAAAATATTGATAAAATTGCTTTTGCTAATGTTTTTAAGNTTTATTAAGGGTAATTTAAATGTTTTACAAAATACACATAAACATTTGTTTTTTAATGTGATTTTTGTTGCTGCATATTAAGGATTTTATATCTGGATTATACTTTGTTATTTTTAAAAGTACACATGCAGAGCTTGATTTGTCCATCATCCTATTTCCCTATTTCCAAATTTATTTTTTATAAAATTCATTTCAGAAAATAGCGACTCACATGCCCACATCAATGAAAATATTGATAAAATTGCTTTTGCTAATGTTTTTAAGCAATCAAAAGTTTCAGGAATTGCATTCCATGTGGTTAGAATTTCATCTTCAGCACTTTTATTTTTTATACCCAATAATTGATTATTTTCAATTACTTCCAAATCTTTTCTTAAATCAGCAAATTTTTGGTTTCATATGGAGCTTGACTGGAAATCAATTAATTGCATTTCTATGTCATGCAACTTTAACCAGCCAAAGAGTTTTAAATTTAATTTATCAAACGGTATTTTATTGGGATATAAAATAAATTTTGAAGTTTCTTCAAATTGTCTAAACTACGTAAATCTTGCAGAAAATTCCTGGATCAGGGATTGAATTATTGCTGAAAGTTTTGTTAGATTCTCTTGGTTTGGTTTTTCATGTCAGAAAAAAATTTTTTGTATTCGAAAAATGTTTATATGAATTTGAAAGAATGTCGCGATTAAAAACTTGTAATTTGACTTCAAACACTTTAAGTCAAACATTACAATGATTGTTTTATTAACACCGTGTAGTTTGATATTTAACTCATTTAAGTGAGAACATAAATCAATAAAAAAAAATAGTTTTGCAAGCCATTCTGCATCCATTAATTGACTGTATTGTATAATAATATTCTCATTATTTAGAAATAATCTAATTTCCTTCAAACAATCTACAAATCTTTGCAAAACTTTTCTGTGGCTTAACCACTGTACATTATTGTACAAAAATAAGTTATTGTATGATGAGTTTACCTCATTTAACAATTCTTGAAATTTTCTTTTATTTAGAGCCCGTGCTGATATAAAATTGACTACTTTTGTCACCAAACTCATAATATAATCCAAAATTTTCAAACCTGTTTTGGCACATAATGCTTGATGGTGAATAATGCAATGGAAACCAAGAATTGAATGTCCAATAGGTTTTGTAAATAAATTTATAAATCCATTTTCCTGTCCAATAATGCTGCGAGCACCTGTTACTGATACAATTTTGGAAGTACATATTTCTTTTTTGCCCAATGCATCTATAACTGCATTACAAATGTCTATTCCTCTTGTTGTTGTTGTTAGTGTTGATAAACTTATTAATTCTTCTTTAACGTTATTTTGTTCAAAATAACGTACAAAAATTGCTAAACGAGCTGAACCTGTTATATCGGTGGACTCATCAAGGCAAATGGAAATAAAATTGCAAGATTTTATATCTATTTGTTGTTGAAAGCTTACATTTTTTGCCATTCCCAAAATTCTCTCTTTTACCATATTTCTAGCTAATGGTATATCTTTAATTCTTTGGATAATTTTTTCTTTATTTTCGAAATCTTCGAATAAGTATAGTGCACATTGCAACCAAGCCTTCTTTAAAAAGTCACCTTCATTAAAAGTTTTCCCGTATTGAGCAGTAGCTTTTGAAGCTTGATAACTAGCAGCAGTAGTGTTTGATTGAGTTCCAATATATTTCATTAAGGATGTAGCTTGGGCATTTTTTTTTTTTTTTTTGAAAACATGTGATATATACTCATTTTGCTTTTCTTCATTTCGATTGAGAAGAGATTTGTGATTGGTTTCATAATGTCACTTTACTGATGATGTTCTACAAACCACCTTTCCTGAACATAAAATGCAAATAGCTTTACTGTCCTTATTAATCATGCCGTACCTATCGGTCCACCAAGTTTGAAATTCTCTGCTACCACCTGTTTCTGATTATTTTGATTTTTTTCATTGAACTAGCCATAATAAGAAATTCTAAAAAAATAATTTAAAAACTTGTAAATTTAAAATATATGTATAAATGCAATAATTACCTCAAAATAAAATCGTAGTGTTTGTAAATAGTTATATTTAATGTGTCAATGATTTAAAGTTTTAAAATGCTACATGCAAACGCTTGGAATTACAGACTAACGGCTCATTGGCAATGGAGTCTGTTTTCATGACGGAGCAAATTAATGCGCATGACCACAGGAACACAGGACCGCATCAATCATACCACAAAATGATATTATATAATAGGTAGATATTCAGTACTATAAATTTAAATCATAAATTATTTTTAAAGTATGGATTGTTGAATTCTAATTCATATTTTTTGTGCAAACCATCAAAATTTTCTTTTGTGCCATAGGTTTGCCATCCCTGATCTAGATTGTTCCAGGCTTTCTAGCACAGCTTTGCTTTAGCCCTAATATGGTAGATCTGTTGGAAGGTTCCTCCTGGCAGAATTTTCTATGAGAAACTGTCCCTATTTAGGTATAATACACTTGATGAAAACCCAGTAAACTCCATGTGTTCAGCCTGTTGGTCAGGTGCAAACCTGGGACTGACTATCAATGTTTAGTGGTTTTATCCACTGGGTCACTGGTGGATCATAGTTGGAAGTCATCAAAGTAGTCCCCAATAGCCATTTTTTGATCTATTCTTGTAAGGCAGTTAAGAAATTCTTTCTTTCATATTTTCAATATGAATTGTTACACATTAGCACTGTAAGAAGACTATCTTACTAGATCTATCATTATGGTCTACATCATCTGATTCAGAGATTA